GAGCCTAAAGCCCTTGTACTGTAGAATGTAGAGCCCCTATAAAACCTGATAGAACCCTATCAGACCCAACCAAAACCTTTTCGAACTTTTACGGACCCTAAACCCCTTACAGACTAGTAAACCCTTCAACCCCTTTTTGAACCCTTATAGACTTATCGACCAAAAAACCCAAACCCCTTTTGCAACCCTTATAGCCTTGTAGAGCCTAAACCCTAAAGCCCTTTTCGCAACCCGTATAGCTTTGCAGAGCCTAAACCCCTAAGCCTCTTCTTGCACCCTGAATCCTAAACCCTACAAACCGTAAACCCTGAACCCTAAATCCCCCCCAAACCCTACATCTTTAATCCTAAGCCCTAGGGTTTAGGATTTAGGGTTTTAGGGCTTTAGGGGTTTAGGGTTTAGGGTAGACTTTTGTTTTTTTAAGCTCCTTTTTCCGTCCGCAACATCCTTGCTACAAATTGAAAATCCTAAGCCCTAAACTCCGAGCCTGCGAGCTTCCGGGCCATCTCGTTGAGTCCGTTCCCACGGTGGCCCGTGAGGAGCATCACGCGCTCGGGGGGCTGGTCCAGCCAGTCCTCTTCTGATTTAACATGGGGGCCTTTACAAGTAGAATAGGGTTCCTTTAAAGGGGTCCATAAGGGTTACTATAGTAAGGGCTATTATAAGGATGTAATAAGGCGCCTTAATAATTAGAATAGGGCTTGGTTTAGGAAGTTTAGGGTAGTTTAGGGGAAAGGGTTTCGGTCTTGGGTGTAGTCAGGCTTCCATGGCCAAGGGTTTAGGGCTTAGGGCCTTTATGGTCTAGGATTTAGGGCTTAAGGCTTGTCTGGCTCAGAGCTTTGGGCTTGGGGCTTCTACGGTTTAGGGTTTTTTCTGAAGGCCATTCTCTGAGAGAAGAGCGGGGACTGGACTTACAGCGACCGCCCCGCAACTCGAGGCACCCTTTTGCACTTAAAGGTCACAGTTTAGGCCTTAGGGTTCAGGGTTTTTCGGCGAGTTTTGAGTGTTTGTGGTATTGCAGGGCTTCCCAAACCATTTTGTGATGTGTTTTGTTGCAGCACGTAGCTGTGAAAGCTCACGTCTGAAGCGGCCGAAGCAGCCAGAGCGGTCTCGAAGAGGAGACAGGACTGGGTTGCCACATTATCCCGGGGTACTACTTAAAGGATCATGGGACTTAGTAATTGGGGTTATAAGTAGACCCACTACAGTTACAACTACTTATAACCCAAGTGAAGGTACTTATAACCCTACTTACTAAGTCCAATGATCCTCCAAGTACCGTCCTCGAGCTGTGAGCCGGGCTGGCATACTTGACCGACCCCAGGTGAGGACCAAGTGCACGAGCGCTTCACCCCAACTGCAGTTTAGGTTTTAAGAAAGAGGTTGGGGCCCATGATACTATATATTTGTATATATATATATATATATATAAGGAAGGGTTTCGGATCGAGAGTCTTTGAGAGTCGCATAGCCTGACCCCTGGTGCTACGAGCCCTTTCGAGCCATAGGACTTCTGAGGAAGTCGCCTTGCTGGCACAGGAGAGCATGCCGGAAGCGTGCAACTGCCCGAGCTAGAGTGCATCTAGCTCGCTCGCGAGGTTGCGAGCCGTCCCACTCGGACCTGGTTTACCTCTCCAAGCACCGCAGTGCCCCTGCTTACAAGGAGCTCAGGCACCCCATGGGCAAGAGAGGCGGGCAGCCATCGGAATGGAAAGAGCAAGGCTATGGATCTGGACAGCAGCCCTACTATATATGGTCACTACCGTGGTCACAAGGACTGGACGGAGTTGAACCCGAAGGGCAAGGGCCGCAAGGCGGGCAAGGACCAAGGCCAGGAACAGCCCTCAAGCAGCTTCCCTTCCTACGAGATGGTGCCGGTGAAGCAGGGCAAGGGTGGCAAAGCTGGCAAGGACAAGCCAGCTCACAACTACGAGCAGGAAGACGAGAATGCCCTGCCCGATCACACCGGCGGCCTGGCAAAGTATGTCCAGAAGATGGTGAATGCCCTGAGGAAGGCAGATGGAAACCTCCGGCGGTGCGACATGGACCAGCAAGAGGCGGAAACCCAGTGGACTGGTTACCGTGCAAGCCTGCAACAGTCCTTTATGAAGGAACGCCAGCGGTACAAGGACAGAGTGACTCGGGTTCAAGAAGAGCGAGAGGAATGTGCCCGGATGAAGGAGGAGGCCATCAAAGCCCTTCGAGCCCTGATCATCGATCCGGCTGGAGCTGTGCAACCTCCCAACTCTGCTGCTGCTGGGGATGCGGATGCAGAGGCGGAATGGGACGAGTTGATGTCTGGCGCGGAGGATCCATGGGCGGCACTCCCAGACCTGATTGCTGGGGCTCAGGTGTCAGGCGGCCTCCCGCAGGCGGCAAGGCAGCAGCTACTGGGAGTACTGGGTTTGTCAGCTCCGGACAAGACAGTGAAGACTCCCCCACGCCGGCCGCACCAACCTCCGCCGATCTCCCCTCCAGGCAAGGAGTTGCCACCGAGTCCTTCGTTTGGGGAGGATGGTTCTTACAGCTCGGGCTCGCTCCCTGCTGCCATGGACCCCTACCTGACGTCACCGAGCAGTGCGGGAGCCCCGATGCCAGCATCGCGATCTCAGAATGGAGCTCCACGGGTGCCCATCAAGCAGCACACCAACGGCCCGGTCAAGACCACCAAGCCGAGTGTACTTGCGGACAAGTTGGAGGAGCGCAGGGCATCGGCTATGAAGGAAGGTGTGCAAGAAGCCGTCGATGTGGACGCCGAGAGCGAGGAGGATTTGATCGCGGATCTGAAGCCCCCCCACGAGCCTCAAGAGGAGTAGTCCGTGCTGGTGGGACCCCTCCAACAGTCAGCAGTGGCTTTTTCGGTCCGTCTACTGCTGCTACGGTTGGGGCCCAGCAAGAGCTCAAAGAGATATGAAACACACGGGCGGCCTTTGCCGATGGTGTGTCACAGTTTTGATATGAGGCGTACAGGCCCTGGTGGCCCTGGTTCTTCGATCGTCTATGAGGGTGGCTCCCATGTGGATGTGAGGGTTGCCAGTGAGAAAGTGGAGGTGGTACAGACTGATGGTTCTCGGAGTACAGGTGCTCGGCACGGCCCTGCGGGAGGCCACGTCCGAAGCTACTCCGTGAAGGTTTTCGATGTCTTGGATGCCCTTGACATCATCTATGAAGAGTTCTTGGGGTACCTTGCTTCCTGGGCAGCCTACCAACAACCTGTGTTCGTGGCGTTTGGGTTGGGGCTGTTCAGTATTCAACTTGCGGCCCTCGTTGTCTTCATGTTTCGGAACCTATGGTTTGCAAGAAGGAGATCGCCTTTCTCTTTGATCTCGGGGAGGATCTGTGTGGTTTTGGGCCTCGCCTTCCTGCAAGTGCCGGCTGAAGCGGTGCCCACCCGTCCTCCGTCTGTGCGGCCCAGCGAGTGCCCTAGTGGCGTGGATATCGGGCTATGGTTGGCGGGCCAAAGGACGGCAAGGGAGCAGATGGCGGCGGCCGAAGCTAGATGGGTTGCTCAGATGCCTTTGGAGCACAACAGCCGGGCAGCACCACCTGCTCGTTATGCAATCCCTGTGGCTGAACCTCAACCAGACGTGGAGGCTGCAGCGGTTGAGGATGTGCATGTCACCCTTTGGGTCGTTTCGCCATTCTTTGAGGCGGAAATTGTCGACATTGAAATGAGCCTCCCCACTTCGGCTACCAGGCTTGGGCAGGCCCTGAAAGACTCCTGCTCTGTGATGCCTGACTATGCCACGGAGTATATCCACACCACGCCGCAAGTGGGACGGGACTATGCCAGCTTTGTGGCTATACCCCCATGGATTCGGGAGAGTGACAAAACGGCGGTCAGCATTGACTGCAGTGCCATTGAGGGTGGCATCTTCGCTGCCTATATCAATGGTGCCATCACTAAGGAGAACGTCTTCATGTGCATGGTCCTGGAGCAGCCCGAAGGTTTGGCTGCCTATGCCTTTGGCAGTGACAGGCGAATGCGAAGCGGCCAAAGCTATCCAAGGGTGCAAGGTGGAGTTATCAAGATAGTGAGGGCTGGAATGGACCCCAGGTGGATGGATGAGCTTGACCAACGCCTCGCGGAGTCCAGGAGGTGGAACCCTACAGCTGCCCTACCGGACCCAGTAGCAGGTCTCCACACTGTTTACCAGTCAGCTGACGACCAAGTAGGGGAGGAGATTGCTTCTGACGATGAGCGGACACTGGAGGTGTCAGCAGAGGAAGCCTTGAACTATGAGCATGGTGAAGTTTGGATAGTTTCCCCTGAGGACCGCATCCTTCACCTGTCTCATCTGGGCCGGAGGATCTGGGGACAATTGGCTGTCCTGGATGGAGTGGAGCAGATGGCACCAGAGTCCATTGTGATCTTCTTGGACCTCCGTGGCTTGGCTCATTTTCCCCAGTGGGCCCAGATTGAAGGCGATCGCTTCTGCCCAACGACCTATGTTGAGGGCCTACAAGTTGGGGCTCCAGATGGGTGGCAGCTTATGGTAAAGGGCGGTGAGCCGATGGAGAGCACGGGTGTCCTACGAGTTCACACAGGAGAAGTGCTCGAGATGTACCTGCTTCCGCCCTCTAAGTCGGATGTCTCGATGCGAGAAGAACCGAACTCGGACGAAGAAGACGATTCCAGTGATACTGAGGATGCGCTGCCTGACTCCAGCGACCTCTCAACACCTAGCCCTCTGCCTCCCAATGCTCCCCCTCAGGGGCCACCTCCACCTCTGCCGGTGAATCGCCCCCGCAGCAGATCGCCAAGAGGCCGAAGAGAACAGTCTGATTTGGTTGGGGTTCTCTGCTTGGCAGACAAAGTGCCCAGTGCAGTGTTCGACCTCACCACGACCAAGCTCCGTCTTCCTCACACAGATGACGACCTGTGGGGATTGTGTGGTCCCTGGCCCGGCGAATGGAGTGGTCTTTGGACCATGTGATCATGAATGCTGCAGCAAAGGAGGTGGTGAAGGAAGCCACCCCCTGGCCTGACCTTATGAAGAATGCGTCCGGTGCAGATGCACATCTATACCGACGGCTCGGCTTGTGAGCGTACGAGCCGTAGTGGATATGCAGTGATCCTGCTGATGAAAATTGGGGCAGCATGTGCCATTTTTGGCATTCTTGGTGGACCCCTGGAAGGAGCCGACAGCTGTGCATGGTCGCTAGAACAGCTTGCGGCACTACATGCTGAACAGGTCGCTGTGGCGGCCGCACTCCTATGGCTCCTGCAGCTGCGATGCTTCATCCCTCGGATCGAGGCACTGATGTTTGTGGACTGCCTTGCTGCGGGCAGGGCAGCGACAGGACAGTGGGCTCCGCCTAATGAGCTGGCCCAGCGAAGCCACAGCTTGGAGTTGATCCTCCGTGAGATCGAGGGGGTCACGCTCCAGATTCAGCACATCAAAGGCCATGCGGGCCACGGCTGGAATGAGGTTGCGGACGCGGTGGCCAAGAGCGCAGCCAAAGGGGAAAGTCTCCCCTTCAGCCCCCCCAGCCACACAATCCGGACCTTTATGACTGCCAACCTCGAGTGGATCAGTTTCGATATGGCAGCCAGAAGGACGGGGTCTTCTTGGATGGATGAGAACTGTATGTGCTGGCCGGAGCAATATGGTACTACTTTCCGTCTATCTCCGCAGCAATTGGTGCCTACTGTTGCGGAGGATGAAGGCCTATGGCCTATTGTGGAGGCGGATGGCAGTGAGTTTGTGCTGTCGGCGTGTTCTTTCAATGTGCAAGGACTGGGCAGTGCACATCGCTACATGGAAGAACAGTTCGACTTCTACGGCTATAACGTGGCGTTCCTGCAGGAGACAAAGAGCAATGAAGGACAATGCTCTAGTCGAAGGTTCTACCGATTGATGTCCCCGGCGGAAAGACACTGGGGTGTGGCTGTGTGGGTGAGCCGGCAAAGAGGTTTGATGTCCATCAACGGCAAGCCGATCTTCCCCTCGGAGGAGAACAGCAAGGTCCTGTTCACGGGCCCTCGCCTGCTTGCGGTTCAGTTCGATGTCCAGGGCTTCAAGGTTGGCATGATTGCGGGACATTGCCCGCATGCAGGCCGGGCCAAGGAACGAGATGCCTTTGTCACTGACCTGAGGGAAGTTCTGAGCAGGATGAAGCGTTGGCCCTTTGTACTTCTGGGGCTTGATGCCAATGCTCGATTCCCGAACAACGTGCTCCATGTCACAGGGGAGTTGGTTGTTGATGAGCCGGATGCCAATGGTGTTATTCTTACTGAGGTTTGCCGTGACCTCGGGCTTTGGGCCCCGGCTACCTTCGGCCACCTGCACAGAGGGGAGTCTGCTACGTATACCCACTGCACTGGAGATGAAAGCCGCATTGACTACTTCTTGTTGGGAGGTGGCGCGACAATCTCTGCCTGCCACAGTGCAGTCAATGCTGAGCTTGACAATGGCAGCCCCAATGTGGACCACAAGGCCATCACTGTCAGTGTTGCGGGCAGGATGGGCAAGGGGGCGGTGAGAGCCAGGCTGAAGAGGGTCAAGTATGACACGGAAGCCATGGCCACGGAGAAAGGTAAGCTGGCGGTCCAAACTATGTGTTCCCAGTTTGAACAACCGCGGTGGGATACATCACCAGATGAGCACTGTCACTTGATTGAGGCCCACCTCCAGCATTTCATGTCGGATCACTTCTCCAAGACTGAGGGTCCTGAGAGGGCCTCCTACATCCCTGAGGAGGTCTGGCGTCTTCGCCAAATGAAGAATCTTTTGAAGTGGAGGACACGAGAGCGGCTACAAGGCTGGCAGCGACTCCTTCCCATTGCACTCCAGGTTTGGTGTGGTGGCGGTGACCAGTGCTTGCTGCCGCGGCTCCGGAAACAGACGGTGATGTACCAGCTTGTCGCGGCTGCTGTCAAGTTTGTTACTCACCGCATGCGCAAGATGATTGCGGAGGCCAAGGACGGCTTCCTGCGCCGTGTTGCGGCAGAAGGGGATCAGGGCGTATGTGCGATCCTCAACCGAGCCAAACGTGCAGGCATCGGTGCACGTGCCCGAGCCCCAGTTCGACGTGACCTACCGAAGCTGTTGGACCCGACCACTGGTCGACAAGCAGAGACAGTCGCGGACCGAGATGATATTTGGTTGCGCTTCTTTGGCGAGCAGGAAGCAGGTCGAATAATGGGCACCCAGGATTTCATTGAAGAGGCCTCAGTTGGTTTGGGCGAGGAAAGCCCGGACTGGGATTGGCACCTTTTGCCCAGTCGGCTTGACATTGAGAAGGCCCTTCGAAGGTTGCCCAAGGGCAAGGCTGCTGGTCTGGATCAGGTCCCGAGCGACCTGTTGAGGGTGTGTCCCAGTGGCTTTGCAGCTCTACTACAGCCCTTGTATGTCAAGTCCTTGGTTCTGGGACGCCAGCCACTTCAGTGGCGAGGTGGTGTTTTGTTTGAGATGTTCAAGCAGAGTGGAGCCCAGCCCGAAGTCGCCAACCATCGCAGTATCTACATATCAAGCTTCCTCGCCAAGACCCTCCACAGGGTGATGAGAGACAAGGTCAAGGATGAAACTGAGGCATTCCTTCACCCGTTGCACTGCGGGACTCGTCCGGGCCTTCCGGTACTCTTTCCTTCACTCTTTGTCCTGGAGCACTTGAGAAAGTGCCAACAGACAGGCCTCTGCTCAGCGCTGCTTTTTGTCGACACAAAGGCAGCTTACTACAGGTTGGTCAGGCAGCTTGCTACAGGAGATCTTCGAGTTGGTCAGAAGATAGAGGCGCTGTTTCATCGGTTTGGTCTGGATGGAAGTGACATCGAAGCCCTCTCGGAGCTTATCCTCAGTGGGGGGATGTTCAAAGCCGCGAACATCCCAGACCCGATCAGGGCTGCCGCTGCGGATTTCCATCGAGCTACCTGTGAAGGGCAAAGGCTCTACTCGAATCAGGCGCCAGTGCTTTGCCAATGGAAAGCCCGAGCTCCTCTTGCCAGACTTGCAGGAGGCGATCCCCATCGTCCCTCACTACAAGCACCTTGGATGTATGGTGGATCCGACGGCAAGACTTTTGCAAGAGGCTCGGCACAGGACAGCTCTTGCAGCCACGGCGTATGACAGTGCAAAGGATTTGTTGTTGCAGAACCGCGACCTGGTCCTTACTACGAGGGTTGCTCTGTTCCGCACGACTGTGGTTGCGACCTACTTCAACTTGGGAGTATGGTTGACTCATGGGCCAGCCTGGAGACACATGAGTGACGCGTTCTCGCGTCTGGTGCGGCGACTTCTGTGCCGCCTTGTCCCGGAGAAGGAGGTGTACAAAATTCCCACCCCGCTCGCGCACGTCATCACTGGATGTTGGCCCCTGGAACAGTTCGCCAGGCGTGACAGGATCTTTGCGCTTGTTTCATTGGCGGCCACTGGGCCCCCGATCCTATGGGCAGCTATCCAGACGGCTGGTCAATGGGCGGAACAGCTTTGTGATGACCTGAGGTGGTTGGTGGCTGGAGATCAGTCAAACTGGCCATCAGTTTGTGCGGCAGCATGGCCCCAATGGTGGCACCTCTTAAGGGACCACCCAGAGAGGGTCAAGCGGCGTGCTGCCAAGCGGAATGAGGAGACTTTCGGGCAATATAAGTCTCAGGCGATTGTGGACCTGTGTCTTTGGTACCTCTTTCGCAGTCTTCGACCCGAGCCAGTTGGTGCCAGTGACAATGGTTCGTGGTGGTGCAGAGTTTGTGACAAGATGTTCCGTTCGAGGGCGAATCTGTCGGTGCACTTTTTCAAAGCTCATGGACGTTGTGCAGAATACCGGCGCTACATTGACTCTACGGTCTGTGGGGCCTGCGGCAAGGAGTTTTGGACCTTTGGACGGACGCTCCTCAGCCAAGTGTGTGAGGAAGCTTCAGCGGACTCGTCGCCCCAGTTCCGCACTGGCCCCAGGATATGGGAGTAAGCGGCGGAGACAGCGAGAAGCGGAAACGTTCACCCCAGCTCCGCCTACGGCACCTACTACTTCGGTAGCATGGGTTGAAAAGCCTTGGTCCACGTGTCAGGTGCAACTACACAGTGACTTGTGTGATGTTGTTCTGGATGCACCACCCAGTGCAGACTTTGAGGATGAGCTCTGGCGCAGGGTTTGCAAGTACCCCCTCTACACTGAGGAGATCCAGCAGGTTGTCCACTACCTTGTCGAGGAGATGGATTTGGTGGCTCAGGATCGTGACTTGCAGCAATGGACGTCGCAACAGCTTGATACACTGCTGAGTGCCCTTCAGCAGGTTCTTGCTAAGGAGCCCCCACATGCTGACGAGACCCAGCGAGGGTCTGAGACTCTGCATTCGCGGGCGAGTTTTACCAAAGCAGCACAGGATCTTGACTGGCTTGGGGCGATCTCTCGCCAGTGTGCGGACTACGTGACCCAGGACTCCACGCTGTACACTCTGACTGAAGATTGGGAAGTTGTATGGTCTCAGAACAGGGGCGTGGAGTTTGATGCAACCGTGATTCGTGATCCTCTTAGACTTTTGCCAAGGACGTTGTGGATGCTCTGGAAAGACTTTCTAAACGAAGGTTCCCCGGAGCTTGAAGCACCACCGTCCTTTTGGTCCCACCCTCTTGCAGCGGCCTTTCTGCCGTTCAGGGTGCAATGTGCAGTTAATTAGGCAGCGGACACCTCTGATTGCATTGAAATGCCGAAAATATATGGGGACCCCTCCAAAATAGTATTGGCAACTATTTAGGCCCCTATACTGGGGTGCAGTTCTATCGCTTTGGGGCAGCAGGCTTAACCTCCGGGCGCCGGGCGATGTTGGACTCCATGCAAGGTCAGCACAACGTAACATTTTCAATGCATGCTTCAGCCTTGCTTCTTTGCCGTTGTGAAGTGTTGCAGATACGCCGGCTGCGTCAGAGCATGCTGCATTCCGGACATAGGCTATCTTCTGAGCATGACCAGCGCAAGCAAAGGCAGAGCAGGCCTGTGAAAACCTCTAATTACCACCAGCAGCCTCATCACCATCAACAAGCTCAGCCTCATCAACACCATCACCACTGTCTATCATCGTTATCACCAGCAGCAGCAGCAACATCGTTTTGCAAGCTTTGTCAACTACCATTAAAGTAACAGCCAGAAAGTTGGAATATGATTATCCTAAACCCTTTATGGTAAATTATAAGGTATCCTACCCTGAAACCATATTCCAACTTTCTGGAGTTCCCACTACGACCGCAAGCCGCAAGAGGAACCGCTCCTGGAGTTCGGTAATTTCCGACTTCCGCTCCGACCAGAAATCGTCGAAGAGGCCTGGTTGCGGGCCGGGATGACGGAAGGAACACTAATGCCGGGGCCTTAAAATTTAGACTACAATCTAGATAAGGAAGCACCAAACTAGTATTGATATTTATATAGGCTCCTTTTGTAACGAAGGGATCTGCATTAGCACAAGCAACTGTACTGCACACTGCTCGTCCGACGGGCAGTGGTGGCACCAGCCGTAGTCAGCTCTTTCTAGGCAATTATCACTGTTGTCTCCATGGCCTTAGCAGCTCGTGTACCAGAAATGCAACTTTGCTGCGACGAAAAGCGAAACACCAATAGCCATGCAAGGTAAAGTGCTCTGAACTGTGGACCTGCTTCAGGTGCCAGAACCCTAGCAAAATTCTAATTTTAGCTGTTTCTTAGAGATTATAATAACCAAAAATTAAAAACCCTAAACAGGCAAGCGAAAACACTGCTGGCCCTGCTGTGACTCTGCTTTGCCGGCCCCCGTTCCAGCCTTCTCGCGATGACTTCCTTGGCCAAGCATGTTCTGCTTTCGAGTTGACTCAACTTATCCCTACATGTACCTAGCAGTGTTGAAACCACGATGCCGTCCTGTAGCTCGTACTTGGAAGGGCAGGGGACTTAGCAAGTAGGTGATAAGTAGAGTTATAAGTACCTTAAATGGAGTTACCCCAATTATAACCCTACTTATAATCTACTTACTAAGTCCCCTGCCCCTCCAAGTATTACCTGTTCTTCTGCAGCATCGGCGATCTTCCGGACAGTTGGTGGTACCCCACATGAGCACTCGTGGGAGTCGCCGTAAACGAACCTCTAAGTCGTAAGACCCATGGGCCCCTACAGAACCTTCCATACTTAAAGGATCATGGGACTTAGTAAATAGGTTATAATTGGGGTTATAAGTCCCCTAAGTGGGGTTATCCTATTTATACCCTACTTATAACCTTACTTACTAAGTCCCATGAGCCTTCAAGTACAGAACCTTCCATACCGCCAAGGAACCCTCGAAACATACGGAAGCCTTTTAATTCAGGCACCCAATCCAGATTCTTGTGGTAAGGGCCCCCAGATTTCGCAAAATGAAGCAACGCTAATTTTATGAACTCCCATGTCAAAGATGCTATCGAGCATGGGGACACCTTTGTAGCAATTGCATCATCGTTTGAAAACTTTTAATGTTCCTGGCAAGAAAATCACGACGACTGTAACATCCATGATGCCGCCCCTTATCAAAACGACCATCACAACCCAAAACCCTAGTTCCCAAAGCCTTGACCCTAACCCAAAAAGCCCTGGACTTCAAACCCTAAAACCCCGAGCCCAAAGCCCTCAAACCACAAATCCCGAAAGTTACACTGCAAAACCCTGTACCCTGAACCTCAAACCCTAGATCCTACAACCTTGAGCCCTGTACTCGAAACCCCCAAACCCTGTAAAAATGAAACATATACCGTGAAAACTGATGCATAGACCCTCGAACCCGAACTGTCACCCCTAAGCCGTAAATCCCCAAAACCTGAACACTAACCGAACCGTAAGCGCCTAAATCTTCAAAACTGAACCGAAACCCCTCAGCTTCAGGCCCCACTAAGGCCCTGTAAACCTTGTATTCAAGCCCTGCAGAACTTCTGAATAGCCCCATATCCTAAACACCTCAACGTACCCTCAACACTTCAACCCTAAAGACTAAGCCCGAAGCACCTCAACCCTACACCCTCTACAACTCAACCATAAACTCTATGCCCGAAACCCTAAACCCCTAAACCCTAAAGCCTAAACCTTGCTTTATAGACTGTCCCTCAAGCCTAAACGCACTGCTGCCTTCAAAGCGGCACGGCCCGGGCCTCTCGCAGGCCGCGCAGGGCCCCGTGGAGGCCCCGGAGCGCGAGACCCGCCGCACCGGTGTAGTGAGAGTCACCTCCAGTCTAGGTGTTATAGAGTTAGCTATAACTAGATGTATACAATGTGTATATATAATCAGAATTTATGTGCATACGTGTACGTATATATATATATATATATATATATACATATATATATATATATACATATATATGTACACAGAGGGAGAGGGAGAGGGAGGGAGAGAGAGAGAGAGAGAGAGAGAGAGAGAGAGAGAGAGAGAGAGAGAGAGAGAGAGAGAGCGAGCGAGCGAGCGAGCGAGCGAGCGAGGGGGAGCGAGCGAGAGGGAGCGAGCGAGAGGGAGGGAGCGAGGGAGGGAGGGAGGGAAGGAGAGAGGGAGAGAGAGAGAGAGAGAGGGAGAGGGAGAGGGAGAGGGAGAGGGAGAGGGAGAGGGAGAGGGAGAGGGAGTGGGAGAGGGAGAGGGAGAGGGGAATATGCGGGGTGTAGGGTTGTAGGAATTTCAAGCTTAGGCTTAAGCCAATGACCTGGAAACAAATCAGGAAGGTACACACTATCGCTCCCCAAAGCAGGACCCCTTCTTGCAGAAAATCGCCCCTTTTGCTAGCCCTGGCAAGAATGAGCCCTGACTGCCGGCGGCCTTCCCTGTGCTCGGAATCGCTTCGCGAAGGCACAGAGGAGAAGATCGCCGCCAAGCGCAGGTGCACAAAGGCCTGGTGCTCTTGGCTCTCCAGAGACTCCAATATCCCTTAATTAAGGAATCTTCCTTAAATCATACTAGAGATCCTCCTGTAATTTAAGGTATATTCCTTAATCAAGGTATGTTGGAGTCTCTGGTCTCGGCAGGCTGGAGATGTAATATAGTGGTTTAATAATTAGAACGGGGTTGCGTTAAAAGGGCTCTATAAAGGATACTATCATACGGGGGCCTTAATAATTAGAATAGAGTTTGGGGTATGTTTATTTTTAGGCTTCTATAGTATAGTGAGTCTCAGCGACGAGAATATCTTCGACCCCGAAACGTGTATAATATACATACGAGTATCTTAGCTAGAAGATCGGCTCTGTCACAGCAGGTTGGAATAGGATGAATCACTGTAATGTAGGGGCCTTAATAATTAGAATAGGGTTCCTTTGAAGGGGTTATAAGGGTACGATAATGTAGAGGCCCTAAGGATTAGAATAGGGTTTTGGGGACTCCTTAGTATAACTATAGTATAATATCACCCAAAGACCTATTCTCATTGTTAAGGCCCTACAATACACCGTTCAGAGGCTTGGCATCATCGGACAGGGGGCGCTGGACAGTATGCTATTGAGGGATCTTCGGTCGTTTAGGAACTTGGGGTTTAGGGTTCGGCTTTAGGGTAATATGGCTTCAAGGTTTGGCACTCCCCAAACGGAACACTTTGCACCCCTAACCCAGAGCTTCAAACCTCAAAGCCGTACGAGACCACTGCAACCCCAACGTTGCAAATCCTAAACCTGTAAACTTCAACCCTGAAGAAAGGCGCTCAACTCAAAACACTGCTCCAAGCCATTCACAGCAAAACTAAACCCTAAACCCTAAACCCTAAACCCTAAACCCTAAACCGTGCCCTGAACCCTGGGGCCTTCATTTCGAACCCGAAAATCATCAAGGATCCCTGCAATACCCCCCAAACCTGCACTCACCTTCATAGGCTCCAGAGCCCAAAATGCCAAGAAATCAGCAAACCCTAGCCCCTGAGCTGCAAAACCCTAAATCCTAAACCCTAAACCCTAAACCCTAAACCCTCAACCCTCAACCCTAAACCCTAAACCCTAAACCCTAAACCCTAAGCCCTAAACCAATATCCGTATACGCTAAAGCCCCTTGTGAAAACACTCAGCTCCACTCCTTGCGGATCCTGAGCTTCAGGGACCTAAAGGCCTGATATAGTCTAGGTACGGCCCCCATACAGTAAGAGTCTATAATGTGGCTATTATTACGGTCCTACTATATCTATATTATGCATATTATTCAACTATTACTGAGTGGGGGCCGTACCCAAGATATAGTCTACTACGGTTGATGATATAAATCCTGCATTACCCATAATAAGGAATATACCAGAATTCCCATAGTCTAGAGCCATTGAGGTAATGCAGGATTTGTATCATCGACAGTATGGCGTATGGGGGCCTGAATAATTAGAATAGGGTTCCGTTACAGGGTTCTATAAGGGATACTATCATACAAGGGGCCTTAATAATTAGAAGAAGGCTTTGAGGCCCGTTTTTCTATAGTTATAACAAGGAACCCCAAAATAGTGTAGGTAATTATTTAGCCCCCTTTCTTAGTAATTTCTAAGCCTCGGTGACTCGAGGCTCAGGGCTGAGGGTATAGGGCTTAATGTTTAGGGTTTCGGGTTCAGGGGTTTGGGCTTTAGGGGTTTAGGGATTAAAGGTTTAGGGTTTAATGTTTAGGGTTTCGGGTTTAGGGGTTTAGGGTTTAGAGGTGTAGGGATTACGTAAAGGTTTAGGGTTTAGCAAAGATCC